AATTATGTTTCATATTGATTCAAGTAAAATAGTATTCTTTATTCTGCTTGAAGATGCTTAATTGTTTCTTAAACCAGTGGTTCCCAACTTGGGGGTCTTGACCCCCACTAGGGGTCACTAAAGCTTCATGAGGGCTCTCAAGGCCTTCTCCAGTTTTAGAGGTGTAAGACTCTAAAACTACTCAGTACGATGCCTATATCTCAGCATTTAATTCATTTCCGTGAAGAAAACTAAATTAAATTGTCATTTTTTTTAAAGGTTGTATTATTATTTAGGATATAAAGAAAAGAGAAAATGGTGAAGACCTGAGCACAAGCTTTCAATCTTTGATAAATAGCTGCTTTGGAAAAGTAGTTTAAGCAACCAAAGAGCTAAAAAAAGAAAAATGCCAATGTGCCGAAAAAGAAGCCTATTAAGTATGTTTGCTATATGTATACCGATTGTTAAAATACCAGGAAAACTGATCTCTGATCAATATTCACAGGAAATCTGCTCAAAATTCATTCAAATTTCTCATTTTACACAAACCTCCTGCAGTTATTGTGTTCACTATTTGTGTTAACTGTCAGGGGTCGTCGGTTTACTCACTGATTAATGCAGACTTAAACCATAACTTCTTGCATTGGTATACTGTAGAGGAACATTATGCTGCTCCTCTGTCCACACATCCTGTGAGTGTCACCAGGGGGAGGTATAATCTCAAACATCAGAGAGCTCTCTGAGTCAGCCTGACTGACACATACAGGTTCATGAAACAGCAGCCAAGTGGACCCTTAATGGAAATGCTTCCATTAGATTATAAAGAGCCTATGTGATAACAGAATGACCATTATGTCTAAATGGAGCCTCCATCACTGAAAAGAAAGTCCCAAAAGACAAGCTAACTAGGCTATAGGATGACTGTGGTATGTGGGAGTAAAACAGAGCTGCTGCCTGCTGTGAATGACTTAATGCACGAGTGTACAAACTGTGTTACAATAATAAAACTAATACTGATACAGCCACTGTAATACTGATACAAACACTGCCCCTATAACACTGACACTGACTCTGATAGGGACACTATCAGACACTAATACCACTAATTATGTCACTAGTAGTAATATAAATTATACCACTAATAATAACAGTTTAACATAAATTAATAAACTGATAAATGAAACAGAAAAAGAGTCTTAAATGCTTACACTAGCATGGAGATGTGCTCATAATGACTGCTAATATGCTGATGGGAATGTTGTTTTATTTGGACATAAATCAAAGTATCACCAAAGTCAGATTCATCCACAGAGACACTGAATGTCTGTCCAAAATGTTACAGCAATCCATCCAGTAGTTGTTAAAACTTGGAACCTGTGTTTCCAGGACGCTGAGTAATTCAAAACATTAGACTTTTAACAGTTTTCAAACACAATGTATTTTTGTATTTGGATTTCCAATGAAATATATGAGCTGTGAGCGTTGGAAACATTTTCCAAACAAATTCCATTCATGCTCAATGTGTTGGATGAACTGCTAGAGGTAAGTGAGTAACTATGTTTTCCTGTGGGTGATCCAGCCTTTAACAGTACAACTCACTTATAGTCTGAAGCCCTAGTACTAACATTAATACGGATATTAGTGATGAAATACACCTAATAATCAGTAATATAGTGGTAATGCTGATGCTAAGAGCATATACACCCTAATTTCATAGTAATATTAATACTATAATACAAAGATCAGTATTTGTGTTTGTACAAGCTTTTTTAAATGTCAATATTTTACTAACCATGTGTGACTGTAATGTTTACTGGAGTGTTATGGACAGAGTGCAGGAGGAAGAGGAGGAGGAAGAGGAGGAGGGGTATTCCAGGTGATTTAATCTTAAATTCCCATAAAATTTGGGGGACTATGATTTAAAAGAATAGTTTGACATTTTGGACAATATGCTTATACTCGCTTGCAGGGAGTTAGATGATAAAACTGACACCACGCTCGTGTCTGGGTGGTAAATTTAAAGCTACAGCCAGCAGTCAGTTAGCTTAGCATAAAGACTGGAAACTGATGGAAACAGTTAGCCTGGCTCTGTCCAAACATAACGTAATCCAGCACCCCCAAAGATCACTCATTAACATATCGGTTTAATCTCCAAAGGGGGTTTGAGTGGGGATTACGTTCCACAATATTTATGAGCCGAGAGCAGCGACTTCCTTCCTAAATTGCAGAGAAGTTGCCAGGCAACCAGCAGAGAGGAAATAAAAATAGTCCCGCACATGACATAAAACCACAACTTATTGTCCCTGTGACAAATAAACTGACCTTTAAACTGTATGTAAAACTTGGTCAAGTTCCCCTTTAACAACCTGTGGAGGACAGGAGATCCTGTACTGGAGTTACAACACAGCTCAGGGTTCAATGTTCAGTCAGAGGACACAAAAGTGTTGAAATAAAAGGAACACATTAGGGAACAACCCAACGAAATGACATCACATATTACTCACAAACAGCTTGCACAGCTGTTTGCCCGTGAGACTCTCATGGTTCGGAGAGAGACGAGGTTAAAAATCAAGGCCCAAGCCAAGCAGAAGCTGTATCTGTGGGAGGAAGAGGATACATGAGCCTCAGCACTGAAAGGGGAACGTCAGGGTCTTTCCAACCACTCAACATATTTGTGTGTCTATTTTAATTACTCGCGTGTTTCCAGTTAAGTATTGTTTTGTCATTCAAGTGTGCTTGTTGTTGCACACTTGACTCTTGGCCGCGCCGAGAACAACACATCTGCTTACGGGGTGGAAACACGATGTTGTGTTTGAGTTCTTTCTATAGCCTCTTTCGTTTGAGATTGTATCAAGCTATTGTAGTGCTCATGACTTACACTCTTTGTTCTTTTTGTGGGTCGGAGTGGGAAGGCCAATGATTAATTTAGTTACTCAAGGAGAGTAGGAAGGCCACTCCCCTCAGGGCGTAACAGTAGAAAAAGCTTCCCGGGAGATGGTGTAAGACAGACGAGAGCAGAGCAGATGAGCAGTGAATCTTGCCAAATTTTAGTTTTAGGAGGTCAAGGAAATAGGGAAGTCATTTTTCACTGAGAGAAAAAGTGAGGGTGTAAATCATGAAACTCAAATCTCAAAAATTGGGTCAAATGGAAGAAAGAAAGCAGGAGGATTATACTTCACGCTGTGTGCCACTTTGCTTTCTGATTTTTCTTTACACATAAGCTCAAACCCAAGGTACACAGGAAAATGAAGTGAGCGTTTTATATTACATACAAAGGGAAGAGAAGAACAAAAGCAAACATATATACTGTGTATGTGTCAGTACAAAGATCAAAAGATACACATTGTATATCTGAACTTGCTATGAAATTGAGCCAGGTGCAGGTGCACTGACTCCTGACTAAGTGGCTGGGCTTGCTATTGTAGTAGCTAGAGGGTTCAACCCTTCCTTGTGTCAGAACTGGGCGTCTCCTTTCCTGTCCATAGATTTATAGGTGACAGAAATGTTTACTGAGTTCCACTCCGCCCCCTCAGGAGCAGTGGTCACCAGTAGTCAACCCTGCTGGCAGTCGAGGCTTTGGGGCCCTGAGATACACTCAAGCCCCCATAGGCTGTACTGGGGTCTGCAGAGAGCCTGAGGGAATCTGGCCGCGAAGGGAGGAGGTGGAGAAAGTAAAAAGTGTGGTGAGAGATAAAGTAAACAGGGAAGTATAAATAGTGTGCAAAGAGCAGATGCTGATGTCTGTTCAGTTTACCCTCAGTTTAAACAATCAAAGCATTGCTCTTTTTTGTCTTGTGAAGCGAGTTCATTTATGGCACTTGAGAAAGTTGTCACATGTATATGGTACAATTAAAGGCAGGTTTCACTCTCATAGGTTCATTAGTGGCAGGTAGTTTGTAGTTTGTAGCTTGTGTTAGCTTCTGTCTGGGAGTGTTGCAATAATTTAATAAATATTAAATATCATTCAATTAGTAATGCCAGTTTACAGCATGTGTGAGGTCCCAATATTATAAGGTATTATGAAGTTAATATGTATACTCTTTTGTAGATGTATAACACATGAAGAGTATACAGGCCACTGTTGGGCTAGTTACTCAAAAAATTTAATTTATTACTCTTCTCAAAAGTAACGTTATTACTTTACTTATTACTCCCAGCCAACAGTAATTAGTTACATTACTTTTCTGCTACTCACCACAAAATTGATAAACCATCTACTCAAATTCAGACTTATGACAATTAAAATCCAGTTTTTGTTTTTTTGTTAAACTCAAAATAATGTAAATATTTCCAGACACTGAATGTAACCGTCTCTATCATCCGAACTAGCTTCCTCCGTGATTACAAAAACAAATCCAAGTAGTAAGGAATCCAACGATGTGATTGGATTGTTGGGTAATAACAAAAGTAATGAATATGAATGTCTGAACCAAAGAAGAGAAGTTTGGGATCACCAAAGTCGCAGAAACATCATCTGGGAAGCAAAAATATCTGTACAAAGGTTTGTGCCAATTCATTAAGTAGATGTTGAGCTACTTCGAGGGATAATGGAAAACTCTGACCTGCTGGTGGCGGATAACAAATAACAAATGATTCATTCACAATCATGGCAATCTATCCAATAACTGTCAAGATGTTTCATTTCAAACCAAACATGTCAACTTCATGGTGGCGCTAGAGGAAAAGTCAGTGGGGTTCATCCTCTGGGGAGCTTAAATGGATCTATAAAAAATAATATTTATCCATTTAATAGTTGTTGAGATATTTCAGTCAGGACCAAAGTGGTGGATGACGAACCGACTGATAAAGCTACTCCACTGGCGTAGCTAGTGGGTAATATTGTACCTTTATGAAACCAACACTAAAAATAAGACAACCACACATACTCTTTTTTTTTTTTTTAACCATGTGGTTTTATTTAAACACTGGATTACGATTTCCTATAACACTGATGTGGTATGCTAACTTGAGACATGAACAGTGGAACAACAAAAGTTGAAGAATATAACACTAACAACATCTAGAGAGAGAGAGATACATCTTTTTTTTGTCTCTTTCTTTAAGTATTTATTACAGCAGTACAAAACCAATAAACCCAGTCGGCAATGTGTATGAATTTAGTGGTGTGTGTTTGGTGTTAATAGATGCTTTGATATTTGGAGACACCTGAAATCTGAACACATAAAAAATACTAATATTAAGTGCACTTTTACCATACTATTCTTGTTTTGTAATAATATTGCATATGTTCTTTCCATTTATATATTCTTGCCATTGATTGCAGCTTGCAGATACAGATACACATATATCATAACAGGAGCAAAAAGCTAGCCTAGCATTCATTTTAACGTGTAACATGTAAGTTATGTTGTACTTCAAGTCTTAAAACATTGGAGCCGTGTAAAAAAGAAAGACAAATGATGAATGGTACAATCTGATCAGCTGTTCTGCGCAATGGTGGGAAAACAGTTCATTCCTTTAATGAAATCATCAAAAAACTAAATAGATATTTCTTTAAAGTCTTGGATTTCTAATTGTATTTTCTTATATTTTCTCTAACAGTTAAGTTAACTTAATCTTGGCTCCTTACAGCTAATATTCATTATTTTCTACATTTTTGCAGTTAAAAACAAAAATACTACTTGGTCTTTTTTACACCTGACATCAAATTAAAAAGAAACTTAAGGCAGAGCATGGACATATACATTATACCAAAAAAAAAAAAGTGTAACAAAAACACAATAATAAGCCGCCATTTCCTTGTCATTACAGACTATGTTTACATGTACATAGTATTTTGGGTGTTGGCTTGTATCCTTGTCAGAGTCTTGTCCAGGAGATTCTTTTAATAGCTTATTCATATCCAGATCACAATCATCTCTGTAGCCTACACATGAAATAATCTTGTTTTTTGAGTATTACGGGAGGCAATGATCTGCCATTAAAAAACGGATAAAAAAAAAAAGGTTTAAATGTCTCTTGTAATATCAGCATGTTCCAGCAATCACATTCAGGTCTCTTATAATCAAGATATGAGTTTTTTCAGGTCACTGGAAGCAAGGTTTGACATTGACTTGCTCCAACACATGAACAGAAAGCCTCTGTAATTTAAGGGAATATTGTTGTACGTGTAAACATAGCCATTGACCTCAACCTCGCCCTCTTCTCTCCCTCTCTACAGTCCTCAAGCTGGCAGTATACTTTACACAAAATCAAATTTGGCAGGTTTGCAGAGGCAAAACTGTGAGTTTGGGGCCCAAAAAACACAAGATTTTGGTTTGATTACTCAGGTTGGCCAGCTGAACTTTCTTGTTCACTGCTCCCAATACATTATCTCCGGTACATCCTGGGCCAACCATTACTTAAGTGCTTCGGGCCACTTTTCTTCTACCAGAACCACGGTGAAATAAAATGCTTTAATTTTCAGAAAATTGAGCCACACTAGATTAAAATACTACAATTAATTATACCAGTTGTGGTATAACCCTACAGTCTGCTCCCATCATGACCCGCAAGCTCCTGCAGCTGGTGTGGATGCCGATAAACAAACAGACCAGAGTCACATTTGCTTGCAGAACTGTGTTTGACAGCAGTTCGACAGCCTTTGAGAACATGCCAAATTCAATTTTATTCGGAGCATACTGCTGGACTAACACCCTTTCTCCTCCCTCAAGCGCTGACAAACACCAGGCGGGTGGAGTAGATCAGGTCGGCCAGGTAGAGTATGAAGTTGACAGCAGTGAGCACGGCCACCGCCATGACCTTATCCCACGTACACAGCCCCGGCATGCTGGTGCAACCGCTTGGCCTTTGTTTCGTACCGCCATGCTTGGGGTCAAAGTTGAAGATGGGCCAGATGATGAGTGCTGACAGATAGAGGACCACGGCCAGCAGGGCGTAGGCAGACAGGAAGCGGGCAAACGGGAAGGGGAGGCAGCCGGTGCACTCGCCGATACAGAGCAGGATGATGGCCGCCGACAGGATGAAGCAGATGCAGTAGACAGACAGGCAGTACTTGAGTGTATCATGACGGGCGTACGACACGGGGTCGCTGATGAAGACAAAGATGACGCAGGCCACAAAGGTCTCGCAGACTTTCAGCAGGCCTGGGGCTGTGGCCATGTAGCCGGCCACCTCGCCTGGACGCGCCTTGCTGATGCTCACCTCGCTCATGTAGGCGATGGTGGCCAGGCAAGAGAAGACGGTTGACACAATGCGGTAGTCACGAATTTCGCTTTGGCCTGAGGAACCCTTGAGGAAGTAGAGGGGCAAGATGATGGAGGCGGACAGGCAGAGCAAGGTGGCGTAGCAGGCGAAGGTGATGGGGAAGTTCTTCCAGGAAACAGGGGCTCTGGTCTGAAGGCCGAATAACTCCACCAGGATGACGAGAACAGTCCCGGCGAAACTGAAGGCCCAGCAGAAGATGCACCAGTCTCCTGTTCCATGGTAGAGTCTGCCGCCATGCACGGCCACGGAGAAGGCCACGCAGGCGAAGACCATGGCTGCCAACCGTGTCCATAGGAGTGGGCTGGATTGGAGGACTATAGCCATTTTGCAAGATGTAGGTGATGAGAGAAGATGAAAAGGTTCCTGTGAGATACGAGTCTTTTCCTTTCGGGTGTCACTTCCTTAGATTTTTTTACCATCGGCCGCTGAGAGAAGGCAGAGAAAACTGAAAGAAGAAAAGATATTGAGAAGAATTAGCCAACAAGATTTTACAGTTTTATGTAACATTTTCTGACCTCTAGATGAAGTACAAGATACGACCACATGAGGGCAACAGCTTGCAATTCTGCTTAAACAGACTATTTACTCCTACATACCATTTTGTGAAACACACAATGCTGTTATTGTATTTTTATGAATGGTTGAAGCAACAAGTGAAACCATGAAAACACAATAATGACTGCACTGTGGTCACATTTACATCAGGTCAAATCATCTCGTGAACACTCCTTCTCTTTTACTCTGGTAGTTCTGGTAGTGCAGACTCTTTCACTCTGACATTCCTCCATGCTCATGTCCTCGGTGATGGGTGTGGCGCCGCAACCTCCAGCGACCCTACAGTGTGTCTGTCATCGTGCTCTAAACATGGCTCTCATCACTTGTTACATTCCCAGCGACCCCGTCTATACACTGTAAAAACTAAGCTGAAATCTTAACAAGGCTTTTAATCTGGTGCTGCTGGGTCTTCAACTCTGTGAGTGTCTAAAGGAAACTGTACTTTTAAAGCCCCTTAAAAAAAGTGTCTCAACCAGGCTCGTACTATGAGGGATGGTGTTGGAACACAGATTTTTCTGCCAAAGCAGTTTTGGTCATTTCACTTTTTTTTCTGTGCTATTTGACGTGGGTGTGGCTCCGTTGGAAAGAGGTGATGTAAAGAAGTTCAGTGCACCGATTACGATTAACCACGTTGTTTGTTTTATTATGAACTTATTTTCTACCACGTTTTCAGAGGTTCTAAGATAACAGATAATACTATACATCTACATTGCTATTGAAACCTTCACTACTGTAGGATTTGTACTTTGCTTTATTAAAGTAGAACCTCTCCTCAACTGTCTTTTCAAGTTCTTCTTCCGTTTCCAGAATTACTTTCAACCAAGCAGCGTCCACCATGGCTATAAGTTCCCCTATGAGTATATTGGACTGAGCAAAGCTGTGTTTTATTTCTTATAAATTTAACTTTAAGTTGCACAGTATCACTTTCACACTAATAGGAATATGATTCGACTGGGGACCGTTTTGTCCATTGAATGTTATTTTATTGATTCTTTTAATTGTCTTTAACGGCAGAAAATAGTAAATCAGAATTCCTTAGAGCTGAAAGTGACAAAAAAACAAACACCCCAGCCTAGTTTGTTGCTCACTTTACCCCTCAAATCTGAATTTTGTGCATCCAAGGTCTGACAAAAAGACGTCAGCCTCGACTCCAGGTCTCATTATGCCCTGTCTGAAAATGGTGGGTGATGTCATGTTTTCAGCAACCCCTAAAGACAAGACTTCTGGTGTGAAATGGTGGCATTCGGCAAGGTGGCAAAGGGTTTTTCCAGCTAATACAAATTACTCAAACCGCAAACCTGTTGTGCAGCTGCAACACATTGCACTGTGATCTAATGAAGCTACAGCAGATAGCCTCTTCCTCCTCTCTGGTGGATTTCTATTGAACGTTGGTGTATAATGGCATCTATATAAAGAAGCTCTTGCTCTTTAATCCTGCAGCACTGACATTTATGACAGCGGATGTTGTTGCTGAACATTTTCTGGTATCGAACACTACAACTAGTGATAATTTTTATTTACTTCCTTTGCAAGAACTCTATAGAAACCAGCTGATTTGAATTCAGAAAGACAAGATTTTAAGCCACGGGGAGAGACATTTAATAAGATATGGTGGACATTTTAACAGTGTGTGTGAACCTTTGCGCAGTGTACTCCCTGTTCCCAGTTTACACAGAGACAGTTATAAACAAGGAGAAAAGACCTGTTTACATTAGTCCCATTAGATACCTATTATACAGCTGAGGGCTGGGGAGGCGAAACACAGAACCAGTGGAGAGGAATGAATAGAAGGAAAGACATAGAAATGGAAAAGAGACCCCTGAAACTCCTGCAGGATGACTCACTCGAAGCCAAAAGGGAGTGCAGGGCAAGGGGAGGGAAGGGGAGTGAAAAGAGGGAGGAACACGGGGGAAGCCCTGTGCCTCAGCCACAGAAGGACACATAGTTTAAACACAATGATGGAGTAGAATAGCAGAGAAGTGAGTCACCAGCGGGCCCCTCTCTTTCACCACTTCTCCCTCATTTCTTGTAAGATTTTCCAACTTACTGATGCGTTCCAGATGTGCTACAGTCTAGCTGCTGCTGAACAACTGGTAACTTTGTCACATTTGCCAAGTTCTTTCCTTTCCTCTCTTTTTCTTTCCTTCTTTCCTTCCTCATAGTCTCATTTGGCGGCTACTCCCTCCCTTTTCCATCAGTTGTCCTCTTTCTCCCTCCCGGCTCAATACTCCCACTCCAGCTTTAAAGTCAGGGTACCAATTATTGCTTCATGTAAACCACTCAAAATAAACGTATACATGGAGGGTCGTAATGGAAAAATCAATCCCGCCACTCCTGCCGCCGCCATTACTCTGCTGCTTATGGAATCAAGTCAGGAAAGAAATGGGAGAGGGAAAAATAGAAAAAGAAACAAGGGCCCAGTGTGGAAAAATGTCTTTTCACAGTACAGCATGGAAAACACGACAGGATCACACAAATAGGGGGCCACTTCCCCAAATGGAAGAGGTGTTGAAAATAGGTTCACGCATCAGGCTTTGTAACAGGACAGCAAACAGGATGTGACATCATCGTGCTCCTCTGCACAGTCACTTTTCATACACACACACACACACACACACACACACACACACACACACACACACACACACACAGACATATACGCACAGACATATACGCAGAGATGTTCAGGAAACTACTGTTTGTCTCAGGCAGAGAGGTCATGTGAGCTGCTTGTTTGGTTGTCATGACACAACATCACTAACTTGATTTCAAGCATAATCTACTTAGAGGGGATCCATGGGTCGAAGCACAGGATGAGCTCTGTTGGCAAACCATCCCCAGTGTGTATGTGTGTGTGTGCTTAATGTCAGTATATTAAGGCGCAACTGTTTACGAAAGCCTTTCACATTTGACCTTTTTTTCAAACCAAACAAATTCCAAGTATTCAGCATTTTCACTCCTCTTGTCAGACTGGAGAACAATCTCGAGAGAACAAACTCTCACAAGATACTAAAATCTCTCGACTGCATTTTTTTCGAAGGGGGTCATCACATTTTTTTCAAAGGCAGACTGACCCACCACACCTACTCAGCGAAGAGGGCAACTTAGAATCAGGAACAATGAGGAACTTGTTGGTGTCTTCACTAGCCACAATGCCACAAACATAGAAAAAGAGAGGAAACCCCCCCCCATAAACACAGTGTGACAGCTGTGTGTTAGGGTTTCATTCATTGACAGTGAAGGTGGGTGTGCCGACTGCCACACCCTGCTCCCACCACACACACCACACCACAGCCTACTGAACACAGACTGACACAAAACGCTCAAATATATGTTCAAAAACTACATTTTTCTAGAGGAAACTGGATAGAAAGTTAATTTCTGACAACATCATGCAAGTGCTGAATGTCTGAAAGACTCTCGCCACAAAAATATTATAGTAGAAATTACTTTTAAAAAAGAATAATAAAGGAGAAATATGTCACTATGTCATTTATAAGATTTATTCCTACACGCAACTTTTTTTATATTCTAAACTCATTTAAAATTTCAAAATAAAAGCTCAATTTCTTTTTTTTTTTAAATGTGCTCTAACATGCAAGAAAAACTAAAAACCACTAGCTGCTGATATTACCACATATTTCCCATAAGGCATGCAGGTAAGCAAGATGCAACAAGTTGCAGCCGAACTGTCTTTTCCTAGTGCAAGCTCACTTAACTACCTCATAAAATACTTTTTAAATATTCAACCCACATGAAATCAGTGAGTGTGAAAAGTTGGTTACCTTTCTGATACTTGGCTGCGGACAGGCTCTGTTCTCCGGGACATCCAGCGGTAGAGAATCGTATGATTGCAACTCCTCAGCTCTCAGACTTGACTAAGCAGCTCAGAAGAGCAGCTCCCCGCCCAGCAAACCAAATTAGGAATCAAATGTCTGCACCGTTATTCACATCTGTCTGAGCTCTCTTCCTCCTCCTCCTCCTCCTCCTCCTCCCTCCCTCCCTCCCTCCTCGTCCTGCACCAGCCCAGGACACTGCTGTTTAACACAGCCAATGCACTCCCTCGTTGAAAGTTACATTTCTTGATCACTTTCCTACATTTTCTTTTGGCTGGCAGCTTCGTGAAAAGCAGTGGGACATTAATAGATCTCAATCTGAATGAGCTAAATTGATGTTTTTGAGTGTTTGTATGCAACTGTGGTTGTTTTCTGTAAGATAAGTTTGTATATTGATCTCTGTTATTGTAAATAAAACTGCACAATTAGGAGACAAACGAGTAGTTTTTCCCAGTTAGTTTAATAGTTTAAATTCAATAATCTATGTGAAAATGAGATGCACTTAAAATATCAGACATTAGTTAATATTCACTGAAATATTAAAGGTAAATTCGCATCATTTTAACAGAAAGTGGGCGGATTCACGTCTGGAAAATAGACATCCATCAACTATTACTAATGAAACTGTCGTCATCTCTATTTCAATGCATCTACTTAAGCGTTACTATCGACACGGCCCGAGATAATACTAAATATTTGTCATTGCTGCATTATTTGTGTGCGTTGCTCAGCAACCGCGGCTGTAACCCCTGACAACCGCTGTGTATTTACCAAGATGCGAAATTGACGCGTTTCCTGAAGAAAAATAAAAAACTGTCCTAGAGACAGAAAGAGTAATCTGCTGTCACATGCACATTCTTACGAGATTGCTTTAATTTGTTTAAATTGATCACATTTCATTCCACTACTGAAAACTATAGGAGGGCTGTAATGTGTGTGTGTGTGTGTGTGTGTGTGTGTGTGTGTGTGTGTGTGTGTGGTAAAAGAATATGGCTTCATGCTCTTGTTGTTCTATTTGTCAATAATATTCATCACAGGGGGGAAAAAATGTCAACATTTCAACTGATTACTGGTAGTTATATGTTGTATTATTAATCTGAAAGTGCAAATTAAGTAAGGAAAGAGTAAAAGGTACAATATTTCAGTACTTGAGTAAATGTACTTTATTCCTAATTTGTATTTTGGGCAATAACAGGACACTGTGAAAAGATTTTATTTTTATTTACTATTTTCCTGTGAATTGCAGTGAAGTATAAATTTAAAGTTTCATGTAAATATTCAAGTAAAGTGTCTCAGTTTGAGTAGATAAACAATTCCTGGATGGTTGTTTTTTTAATATATAAAACTCCTGTAAGCATGAAAATGCTTCTTAAACTTCTTATAAGTTAAAGAGGATTTACGGTTCTTCCATTAATGAATAAATATATTATTTACCTATAACACTGGCACTATTTATCATGTCAGATCTTACAGGTTGTCCATTAAACTAGATGTTGGATTAGGCCCAAAATCAAAGGATAAAATCTGACTTTTTGTTGCCAAAATTGGACGTGAGTGACCTTAAACAACAACAATCAACCTCAAACCAAACATCTAAGATGTCAGCAGCTGTATGAATTATTTCTAGGAGTCTAAACATGTTAACAAGGCCCGGACCCCCCACTGTCACTGACTCTTATACCCACCCTGTATATATGCATTACATTAATGCACTCCCGTCTTCTGTACAGTTTTCCTATCTTTTCTTATCTTTCTTATCTTTATTTATTTATATGTTTTTTAAAAAGTACTTTATTCTTGTTATTTTTTGTGTGACTGTATATTTTAAGCACGATTGCACCAAGACAAATTCCTCGTATGTGTAAAAACCTACCTGGCAATAAATCTCCTTCTGATTCTGATTTGGTGAACGGATGATGGAGCCTCCTGTTTCTTGTTCTGTGGCGTTGTTACAATCAATTCAAATGGCTTTATTGACATGACGTAACACTGTACATATTGCCAAAGCAAGCGTTTGGAATTAATGATAATAATAATAGTAACAATAAAGGAAAACAATATTTACAATAAATTAATTATAATCTATACTGTTGGTAATACTGTAACTATGATTGACTCAATCACAATCGATCAATCTGAGTCAATTAGTAATTCATGACAATCAATCAATCAGTTTGTGTCAACTAAAAATGTAATTAAAACAGTAGTAAAGTAACTACAGTTGAAACAAGTAGTCTGTTGTCAATATATATATATAACAGTAATAACAAATGATTAAATACAATATATGATATTAAAATATATTAAAATTAAAATAGATAAAACTGTAAACGTGTGTGTGTGAGTGAGTGTGTGTGTACATATATAAAAAAACAATCAATTATTTAATACATTTACAGAGTTTCCACTAGTTGTCCTCAGTTAGTGACATGAAGAAACATATTTATATTTATTTATATATTTTATTTTTTATATTTTATATTTTTATATTTTTATTATTATTTTTAAACAGTTTCTGTGTCTGATAATAAATTAAAAAGTGTTTTTGTCTCACGCTTGAACATTTAGGCCCATGACGTCAGACTCGGTCTCTACCTGTCCTCTGTCACACACACGGGGAGCAGAGACGTCACCAGGTGGCGCCAGATCGCACCTGCGCTTTGCAGCCCGTGACGTAAAAGTGTCCGCGACGACTCCACAGAAAACAGAAACGTCAATTGTGGGAGACCGTGCGCGGTTGGGGAGAGAAGACAACATCATGGCGTCGGGAACGGGAGAGTCGTCCACCGGACACGATGCAGAGCTGGACGAGCTGTTGGACAGTAAGCGTTGCTGCACACAGCGGCTCTCTCTCCACACACACCCCGGGGATCGGGTGTCTAAAGCGGCTGCGGCTGGAGCACCGAGACCCCCCCTCCACACACACACACACACACACACACACTTAAATCTCGATATAAAGTAGCTTCAGTAATCGCTGACAGTGTTGTTGGGGGTGTGTGTGTGTGTGTGTGTGTGTGTGTGTGTGTGTGTGTGTGTGTGTGTGTGTGTGTGTGTGTGTGTGTGTGTGTGTGTGTGTCTCTTGCAGATGCCGTTTTTGGTTCAGTTAATGTTCTGTAAATGTGTGTTACTGTGAACCACTAATGCTGTATGAAGGTTGTCATTTACTGCTGTGGATTTATTGGCAGAGATGTGTTATAATGTTTGTGTAGATTAGTGTGTGTATTCACCTGGTAATAAGAGTTGTTGTGTGTTTGTAGTTTCTCCTCTGCACTTGGAAGTGGAGGATGTAGCTCCACCTTTTAGATGCCACTGACTCCTACACACTGGACCTTTTTAAAAAGGGACCCCTTTAAAGCTGACGAGCCCCGACTAAGTGACACATTTTATGGGTTATATTTATTTAATGTACAACTGATAATCTGTGAACCCGAGTAGTGAACATCTGCTCTTTGGTTGTCTTATATTTTCTTACACCCCTTAAAATCAAGAAGGCTTTGCGACTTGGAGTCCAATCCATTTGTATCACAGTAAAAGCTTTACAAGGGCAGGAGTTATGCAGGATTGTTGTATTAGACTGCATTAGTCTTAGCGAGGTGTACCTAAAGTTCATAAATCATCAGTATTTTACTTAATCTATTAATACTGAATCAAACCCAGAGCTGCAGTTCCATCTTAATTCATAATAATATAGTTAGAATCATTTTTTTATAGCTCTAAAAGAGCTTAAAACATCCAAGAAGATGCTTTACATAGTATTAATAGTGAGGAAATACAATATATATATATAAAGGGGTTTAATGTTGAACCTTTGGACACAGAATAATCGTTAGTATTAACTTTTTGTAGTCGTTTTATTCCTTTTCTGCGGCTAGGGTTTAAACTGAAGAATAAGTGGTTCAATTGTAACATTTGTGTTGTCTTTAAATGTCCACTGGTATTGCTCTCATCTTATTTCTTCCTTTCAGGTGCGTTGGATGACTTTGACAAGACGTCGGCTCCTCCTGCCCCTGAACCTGCAGCTGCTTCCTCCTCAGCCAACAGCGGGGCAGAGAAGGTCGGTTTCTTAACGTTGGTGCATTTACAGCAACCGCGTCTTTATTTTGTTACATATGCACACATGTAGCATGTAGCCTGTAACAGCCTCTTTTATTTAACTGTATATTGTCTCCTAACTGAATTACACCTGGTGGCTGCTTGTGTGTACATTTTGAATATGAATTTGGCTGCAACATCAGTTAATTTCAGTTTCCTAGGGGACAAGTGTCATTTGATTTATTTCAATATGTAGCTAACAGTTCTACAAATCTATAATATAATATATATATATATCTATAATATAGATATTACCTTCCTTCCAAGAACCTGTAAAGGGAAAGGTTTGCGTACTGCTGTCCTACGTTTTTGGGGTTTTGTCTTGAGTGTCTACCAGCAGTGAAAATGAGCACAGACTATACCAAGTTTACTTAAAGGGGGGGGAAAGTTTATTATTATTTCTGAAAGAACGTATTTGTGTCTGTTGTTTTTAGTCCCTGACCTTTCCTCTGTTTTCTTAGTTGTATAACTTGTTTACCTTTTGCTGCTGTTGTGTGTTTGAATCAACTGTTTGCCGGGTGTGTAAAAACTGCAAAGCTTGCAAAGCTCAGACCCCACCCCGAAGGTTCACTGCCCAACAAAGCATTCTTCCACAGTTGCACAGACTGTTTTTGGGGTAGTAACTATGGCCAAGCAACCAAAATTGGAACAAGAATTGTCTAGCAGACACTGTTCATTGCAGCCAATACAGTTTCAAGGTGTAGTAACAAAGAAGGCATATAGTACAAAAAGAAACGACACACTTTAAAAGCATCCACTAAAAAGCAGGCTTGATGCCATTTAGCGCTCACAGTCACAGCCCTCCACAAAGGTGTTTAGAAGCCTCTTTAAATGTTTTCTCTTTACTTGTGTAGCCACCTCTGCTCGAAGACTGCAAACTCTTTGAGACTCTCTTCGAGGGGGACATGGCTACCCAGGCTAAGGAGGAATGGGAGAAGGCCATGACTGAGCTGGCTCAGGAGGAGCCAGAATTACTGCAGCACTTCCAAAAACTGTCAGAGGCTGCAGGCAAAGTCGGTAA